TGAGTATTTTGTAGGAAATCCATAACAAACTTGGGCTTTATAAGAATGACATCAGTTATCAAGAACATAAAATTTATTCTAGACCAAAGAAGGGAAATAAGGTGCTGAGCTTTTGTTAAAGAAAAAGTGTGTTTATTCACTCTGAAAAAACACTGCAACCCATGAACCCTAAAGCAATAATTTTCTGACCCAAAATCTCAAATATTTTGTAAATGCAGCTCATTCAATCTTCTCTCCTATTCTTCATCTTCTGCAGCCAACCTCCCAAGCTTTCATCTTTAAGATGAACGTATTCCCCCACTACAAGAACAACAAGCAACTTGCATCTATGACATCTTTCACACAGACCTAAGGAATACATTTTCCCCCCTGCCATACAAGACAAACAACAAAAGAAGCCCTCATCCCGAAGTACCTACCTCTCACCCAACCCTGCACAAATCAAACCTCTCCCATATTGGGACTTCAAGTTTCCAGCACCTGTCACAATGCCCTCATCCCATAATGTTTACAGAAATGTTCTTTCTCTTTTAGGATGTCATTTTACCCCAACTTGGCTGCTTCCCTCATCCTTAATTTACTAACTTAAATCCTTCAGAGAAGTCTTGAGTTCACTCAGAACAGGTCAGGGTCCCCAGTTATGTTTTCACATACTGTATGCTTATCAGAATGATTATATAGTAAACATCTATCTTTAGGGATGGAAAGTAAGTTCTGTGAGGGTTTCAACACTGTACCTCCCATGCCAAGTGCATAATAAACATTTAATAAATATTTATTCAATGAATCAATTTGTTTTTCCAAGTGAGAACATGCTGTTATCTGCCTTCAGCCACCTTAAATACCTCAGTATACATTCCCTACAAAGGTACCTGGTTAAGCAAATACATTAGTTCACATTAGAATGACCTTATAGCTTTATATTTCTTATGACAAATATTCCCATACACATGTTACATTATATAAAGCAATTTGTTACAGCTCCTGCCTGGAAACCCTGGCATTGCCCTGATGTAGTGAATCAGATTTGTGTTTGTCCTGTGGCAGCTGTCTATTGTCCATAAATGTCACAATGGCTGGGAGGTGATGACTGTTTTTCAACTCACTTTTGCCACTGGGATTTCTGGGACTTCCTTTACTCAAACTTTTTTCCCATGTAGTTGATGTTCTTTCATAAAACGTTATCTTCCTAGGATCAGCTGGCCCTCCTTCTCTCTCGGGGCTGGCTGTTGTGCAGCTAGTTCTTTTTCCATTAATTTTAACCTATCTTGAGAATGTTCAATCACAGCTTGCCAACACTTCCATCTTCTCATTTTAAAGTATGCTTTGTGAAAACTTGCTGTGATATTCATGTCATAAACAATGAAAATGTTGTAGTTATGGTATTTTTCCTGGACTTTCATGAACCTTGCAATCATAACTGTTATTTGTGAGAATTATCCCTGATACTTCAACATGACATCATTTCATGTATTTCATAGTCTATTATATCCACCTGATGCTGGAAAGAACTGTAACCATATAATTCTATGTCAAGTCATTTTCTTCTTTATTGGATCCTGAAATCATGTCCCTTGGGATAAGAGGTGATGCTTACATTTGGAGAAAACAGCATGTACAAACTTTCAGGATGTGAAACGTGCAAAGGGCAAGTAGTTCAGGATAGCTGAATTATAAGCTCCAAAGGAAAGAATTGTGGGTAATAGCTAGAAAGGCAGATGGGATTCACATTATAAATGTCCTTCACTGGAAGATATGACCAGTTCCATGAAATTCTTTAGACGTTTCTGATGATAAGTGTAGTCTAAGTACAAAATGCAAGATCACATTTGGGTTTGGGAAATATCATTTTTTTCCACTTACTGCACAACAGAGATAGAAGGATGTTCATTGCTAGATTTGGTCATATGGTCAAACTGCAAACTTTGTTACTGATGTCAATGTTAGATCCTGTTTAATTTCAGTTGGCAAGCGAGACCACTGTAGCTGAACTGCAGAAAGAGAGCTTATAAGGGCAAATGTTACTCTTATATTGGGTAGTGGGAAGCCAGTTTTTGGTGTCTTTTTTTTAAATTCAGAGATAAAATCAAACATGATGTTCCATGCAAAAATAAGGTCTTTATTAATAAGTTTTACCTATCTCCTGGCATTTGGCATTATGGTTAAATAACTGTCTTCTTAACTTACTGTTAATAGAAAATTTCATTTTATTAAAATAGTTTTTGAAAATATGTATTTGTTCATTTCCCTGAATATGTAAGTAGAACATTCTGACAGATTTTTTTTTCTTGTTTCAAGATTTTGCCTTGATATGAGATTGGTATTATGTATAATATAGTTTTCTGAATTGTATGTGGGATAAATGTGTCCTGACCTCTAGGGCATATTCTAGCCCACATAAATTAACCTCTTAATTTTTAGAAGAATGTCCTTAGTGTTGCAGCAAAGTATTAAAAAAAAAAAGTGAGCTTTCATATCATTTTATTCAGACTAGTCTCACTTTATACCGGTTGTGTGGGATAATTATTAACAGTGCCTTTTGTCACTCTGAGGTTTTTTGACCTGAAAGAGAAATAGATGTGTTTACCCTTTTAACACCACTGTTAAATGGTAACAGATATAAATCCCAGCATAAATCCCTCATGTACATTATTTGTTTGATAAAAAAAAAAGTGAGCTTTCATATCATTTTATTCAGACTAGTCTCACTTTATACCGGTTGTGTGGGATAATTATTAACAGTGCCTTTTGTCACTCTGAGGTTTTTTGACCTGAAAGAGAAATAGATGTGTTTACCCTTTTAACACCACTGTTAAATGGTAACAGATATAAATCCCAGCATAAATCCCTCATGTACATTATTTGTTTGATGTTAACAATATAGCTCACTTTGGTGTCTGTATCCATAAAAGTTTAATTTATTGAGCTCTTGTATGCTAGCATTGTGCTAAATGCTATACATGTATTATCTACATATATTATCAACTCACAGACACACACACAAGCAAAACATCCCTCTGAGGAGGGCATTATTACTTCCATTGCAATAATAACAATAATATTTCCATTGCTTAGAGAGAATAAATAACTTTCCAAAGCCATATAGATAGAAGATAGAGCTTAATTGTGAAAACTAAATCTCTGAATTTTAAAGTCTGAGCTCTTAATGATGGTATCGGTGTTTTACAAGCTGGTGTCAAGAACATATCAGAACCCCATGATTCTATAACATAATATAAAACTCTATAATAAATAACCTAACTAATAAAAATGTCTATGGATTCTGGATCGTCTTTATGATCTGATACATTTTTCTTCATGCCCCCAACAGCATCCCTAGATTCTAATAAGCTAGTGAGAAGAAAATGAGGCACATTTAAAAATCAATGATATGAAAATAGTGAAAGATGCACAAGTTTCTTAGCAGTTTAGAGAGGGATCAGATGAGGGAGAATTGAATCATTACATAGCATACTGTATTTAGAGGCATAGGAAACTCCAAAAACCTGTACCCCGGCAGCAGGCACCTTTTCCATGTTGCCAAGGGTGATTTAATTTCAGGGAAATGAAACCTTATACTATATTAGATACATGTCGCAATTTTAAATTTTGTTGTTTTTTTGCATTTATTCCTGTATTTGTAAACTTGTTTTGGCATTATAATTGCATACACCTAAAAGCATAAAGGCATATCTATTTTATGTTCCAACATATTTAGGTAATGTCAAAATAAACATGACAAATCAATAATTGGTGTCTGTGTGTTTCTTCTTTTTTCTTTTACTTTTGCTTGGAGTTCTGTAATTGAACAGTACTTCTTCATGTGACTGGCTGACTGTAAACATCACCTCTCTAGTCTTTACAATTGTTTTACACTGTTGTATTATACTGACTGCTCCATCTTGGTCATTTTTATTTCCTCATTAGGTATTTTTCTTTTGCCTTATTTTTGTTAATGCTTAAGCATTTATAAGGTAAAGCAAATAATTATCTTCCACCTTGTCATATACCTCTTATGACTATTCCCATGAACCATTATTTTTTAAATGTCATTTCTGGAAAATAATGACTTGCTTTATTCTCTGTTTAAACCTTTGAAAAAATATAACTCTCCTGGCCTATGGTATGACAATATGAAGGAAGTTATTCAAAAAGATAGAAATCTGATTTCATTGAATTTCTGAGACATAAGGAACATGATTGGGAATTATAAAGACTTGATTGATTTTGCAGTATTGCCACAAACTTTTTAAAGTAAAAAATTAAAAGAAAATTTGACACAATATTGAGAAATTCCCAATTTTAAGTGGTTAGACACTTCCTCAAATTTTGCAAACTTCATCCTGGAGGGTTTGTAATACCATATACTGATTAGGAGAATGCCTGAATCCATTTTAAGTGGGACAGGTAATACAGTTTCCAAAGATGCCAAATTTGTTACAATCACTGGTTAGTGCGTATTACCCATTGTATCAGTTTTCAAAGCCATTGTAGTATTTACCTCCGTTTTTGTTACTCAAGTTCTTAGATCAGGGAAATGCCAACTACCAGGAAAAAAATTGTCAAATTCAAAGAGATAAAATTTAAATATCAAAAAAGAATCATAATACAACATTGATCTCTCTACCTTTTTTATACATTAAAAGAAATAAATGATACATGTGCAGTAGTAAATTAATCAAGATCTGCAAACTTAAAATATATCCTGAAATCATTTTCTCTCATCCTTTTCCATGCTATCCTTTCATCCAGGGGGGAAATACTGAAACTCTTGTATATTTCCATGTATGTATTAGTGTCCTGTCCATGGACAGTTGTTCCATCTTTCCATATATTATTTGAGAGGGAATGAATCATCTACAACACACAGCCATTCTGTATATTATTATCCTGTTAGTACTAGTTAAAATAAAATTAATTTACACTTCAATACATTACATTACTTGAAAATAACAGTGCTTTATATTAAACTGTACTTCAATATTCTGTTTTACCTGCAGCTGAATGTGGTGCATCTGCAACAAATAGTGAAGGAATTTTGCTTTCTCCAAATTACCCGCTCAACTATGAAAACAACCATGAATGCATTTATAGTATTCAGGTTCAAGCAGGAAAGGGAATCAATATTTCAGCCAGAACATTTCATTTAGCACAAGGAGATGTTCTTAAGGTAGGTGAACTCAGACATACTTGTATTTTGATCATTTTCAGTTACTGAGTATACATTACTACTGAGTATTACTGTAAAATCAACTCTAAGTTGATTCTGCAATTCATAGACTTCTATTAAACATTATTTACAATTTTTGTATCACCACTTTCATTGCAATAGAATGTTTTGTGTCCAATGTTTATATATGGCAAATACATTTTTATTTTATGATAAAATTTTAGTGTTTCAATAAAACCAAAATGAGAACATTTCATGCCAAATACCTCATATTCAATAAATGTTATATGTATCATACATAATAAACACATGAACGGTCATTTCTTTAAGAAATACAGTAATGATTTATTTTCATTTTTATGTCTTATGTATCTTATATCTGTGATATAGGGGTAATTCTTTGCATTTATGACTACAAAATGTCACATTTAATGAATAAAACAAACAAATCAATACCTATAAGTTACTTAAGAAAATATGCTTTGTTGATAATAAATATTCAGTGTAAAATTTATAAATTTAGTTTAAAAATTTGAAATAATAAAATATCCTACTCTTTAAAAACTATTTTAGGGGAAATAAGTATTTCCATATTTGGTGATTCATATTTTGCAGAGTGTTTTGATAAATGTAATTTACTTATTACAATAAATACAGCTTATCATTATTAGAATAAAAATAAACACTTTTGTAAAATCACATTTAAATATTTTTAATATAATTACATACATTTTTCCTAATTGTCAAGATTTTCTTAAGCCAGGTAAGAAATTCAACATAATTCTTTTACAAATCTTGAATAAGAGTTATAATAATCCAGGTTGACAAAGTTAGGGGATTTTTGTTTAAGCAGTGATTTTAAGATTATTGGTCATTTTCTTCTTTTAAAATGAATATAATTTTGATGGTAATTGATGTTCTCTAACACAAACAGTACAGTATGTGAGATTGGTTTTCACATGGGAAGGATTTCCTATAGTACACATAGATCTATACTATTTTAGTATTAATTTAGGGCTATTCTGGTTTTTGTACTTTTCCCAAAACAGAAATTCACTTTATAATCTCTTCAACCTTCAGTTCATTGTCTGGATTTCCCTGTTAAAATAAGTTTTATTTGCTAAATTAGAGTCAACATTGAGATTAATGAAATGCTTGTACATAAAACTAGGGAGTGCTAATTTTTTTCAGGCAAACTATGAGGAGAAAATGTATCAAGACATAAATTCAGAAGTATAAGCCCAGCCAGTAATCTATGTCACAGAAGCAAAAAACAATAAACATATGTTTCTAAGTTAAAATTCATTTGGAATAACAGGTGATGCCTTTTTAAAAAGTACGCTTAATGTGTTCCTCAGAGTGCTTTCTGACTGATGTCTTACTTATTTTGGAGTAAGGCCAAGTACATTTGCGCTGTGTGTTACTTGAGAAGGGCAGGACCTCTGTATAAGTGGCAGGGTGAGGGGATGTGATGGTGAGAGACTAAGGAAGTCTGAAAAACTCAACTTAAAGCTTTTTAATGGATTTCAGTAGTAGTCTTTCTATCATGAATGAAAGGATGAAAATTTACATTCCCAGCAATTTTTAAAAGTTTTTTTGTAACTTTCCTAGAATAAGTGTGTTTACCAAAGTTGAAAAGATTATATATTAAATATTATAATAGAAAGACAATTCACTAATCCCCCTACCGTTAGTCTGTCCTGGGTTTTATTATAAACAATTGCTTTAAAGTAACTTACGCAAACCACTCTATAGAGACAGCTTGGGCTGGGCTTTCTTACACACCAAGCCTGTCTTCTCTGTGATCTCTCCACTAGTGTCAGATGTACGAGGCTTGTATGTTACTGCATTCCTCCATTAATCCCATGGACAACTATTAATTCAAAGTACCTCTTGACGCAGGCATAGTTAGGCATGCACGGCATCCAGGCGCATCCTCCAAAGGACACATGGTTCATTCTGAAAAGACTGGATTCAAGGTTCTGTCAGGTTGGAAGGTCTTTTGCCTAACTGCAAAGTACTTCATGATCACCCATCCCCAGCCCAGCACTTTTCACTGTTAAACCTCATGGAGTCAGTTCTCCTCCGCCATTCACACTAGGAAGTAAGAAAAAAAAAAGGTGAAATACGTGTTTCATTACAGAACCCTCTGCCCCTAGACTGAGAAAATTTAAAAGCCTTTTCTTTATGTGGTAGGCTTGCCTGTTCTTTTGAATAGCATTTTTCTTGTAATCCTTATGAGTATAAAGTTTGGAAAAAGTTTTTTTTTTCTGGTTTAATTTATAATATCATTGTTTGGATTCTGACAAAACAGAAAAAAACAACAATAAAAAGTGTGTGTGTATTTATTTATATCTACACACACACACAATTTTCCTTTCAGAGAGTTCACCATCCAGGCTTAGATTACCCACTCACTCTCTCCTTCCTTTTTTTTTCCATTAACTACTTTAGTTATTTATAACCACACAAGTAAAATCTATATCAAAGGTAGATGACAAATACCACTGGCACAACCACGAGATTTTCTGATTCAGGAGATCTGGAAAAACTGTTTCAGTTGGTCTGCACCTGGCATTATGGATTTTTATAAAGCTCTCCAGAGTATCTGATGACTGTAGATCCTTCTTTAGTTCTATCCTTTCCAATAGGCCATAATACTGAAGTTCTCAAACTTTACTCAAAATAAATAATTTAACTAATTCTTTCAGTAAGCGTTTACAGGAGGTTTTTATTGTTAATATGCTTTAGTCAGCAATGGCTAGTTCCTGTTGTCTGCCCTGTAGGACAGAAGCTGAATACCAGTCAGAAATACTATTTGTTTCTTTTATTGTTGTGTTTGTCTTATTAGAAAGACTGTGCTCTATGTTGAGATAAGGGAATGTAGCAGGGACAAAATTTAAGATAATATTTTTACCAGTCATATGGTGTACATTAAAGACGTATGTCAGGCAAAATGTAGACAAAATGGATGATTATGGAGAACAGCCAATAAAATAACCTAAAATTGGTTGCAAGAGTCTTAAAGAAAGGATTAGGAAAATTCATGCCATATTTATGAAAAATTAGATAGTTGAAGCACTTGATTAATAACATTATTTTAGAGGTATAATAAGGTTAATGTTACTGTCTTTAAGATTATTAATTTGAAGATTCTTTTCTAACCTGCATGAGTCTTTGAGAGTACTATTGCTAAATTTCCAGTAATTTTTCTGTTTGTTGTTAAAAATAGCCATTTTCAAAAATTAAATTAGTTACAATTATAATTTATTTACTTTGCAATTTAAGTATATTTAAAACAAAGGTAATAAATATCATTTCCTAAATGATTTTACTACTTGTCCTGTTATGTGTGCTTTATAAGCTAGTCATATACATCTCTATTGCAGAAGTATTATGTCAGGGAGGCATTTCTTCCAAAAGTTGCTTTCAATTATTTCATATTAATAGCTTGATATTTTTATTAAATTGGCCCTTGTTGGAATAGTTACACTGAAGAAATTGGCAAGCACTACAAATCTTAATTTATTGTTTTGCTTATTGTCTATACTTAAGTAAAAATAAGCTGTGTCTGTAGCCATTATATTATAAACACCATGAAAAATGAGAAAGTATCTTTTCTAGTATTTAAAAACTATTATTCAATCTAACAAAGAAGTTGCTTGTGTTACTTTTATAACATGTTCAAAACCAGTTCAGTACCAGTGAAGTACTGATATAACATTGTTTTTGATGTTTCACTTTCATCTTACTTGTTCCCATAAAAAATACCATTTTTATTCTTTCCCATATTAAGGATTACAGATGTGAAATGATTTGTGACAGGCCATACAGCCTTAAGAGTAGAGTTGAGACTTCAACTTTATTACATAACCACAGAGCTAGAGCACTTGAGCAAAAGTTTTCTGCTCTGTTTCTCATTAATTTTAGAGAGAACATAATAAAGATTAGAATATTGTCCTATTTGATTAACCATTATAAAACATACACTTCTTCATTCCAACTTTAACATCTCACTCACCTTATTAGAAAAATTTATTTAATTCAAATCAACCTTTAAAATAATTGGCCAAAAATTGAAAATTCTAGTATCCATGAGCAGGAATAATGTGAAGATTTGTATAATTTTATGTATGTGTATGTATATGTGTAATTTATCTCTTTGATTTTATTTTTTTATGCACTTTCTGCTTTTAGGTTCAGGTATAACACCTTTCTAATTCATTAGAGAAATGACTGTGAATTGTGCTTTTCTAATCATGCATTAACACTATCAACAACAACAAGTTTTAAAAATTTTAAGTGTTGATAAGCAGTTCGCCACAATAGGGTTTGACCTTCCAGATCTAGGAGGATCTGTACATCATCACTAATTTCAAGCCCTGATCCATTATGAAGTGTTTGAGAATCGAAACATGGCAACATTAAGTTCTAGTCCATTCTAGTGTAAGCTACCAGATTAATTGCAACCTTTTAAAATTAAAGTCTAATCAGAGAGTTTCATTAATATTTAAAAGCACTCAATTCCTTTTCTTACATTCTTAAGTCACCCTCAAAATCCTTTTAATATCAAAGTAAGTCTCCATTATCTAAATTAACATTAAATGAAGTCTTTATCTAAATGTGCCAAGTAATTGAGAATATTTCTGTGGGAAACACCAGTCTTCTCTCTTCTTACTAAAAAGTGTGCTACACAATTATTTTACTCATTTTTAGCTCCTTAAATTTCTGAAAAAAAGATATTAACACATATGGTGAAAACAACGAACATAATAATAATAATGATGATAATCATATGCTTTAAAAAAAGAAAAAGAAAGAATAGAGGCCCAAATAAATAAGAACATGTTTAAAGATCCTGATTTTAATTAGAACAAAAATATGAGAAAATCTCAAATAAAAGTTTTCCTTGGCTCTGATCTGATTTAATATAATCATTCTCACTATAAATTTACTTTTAAATTAAAGGTATATTTTGCTTGTTTTATTTTCTTATTTGTGTACTTGCATTTATGTCCACTTCAAAAGTCATTTGTCTTGGACTATGCAGCCTTGTCCTTTTCTTGTTGCCTTTATTCTTCCATATGTATCAGAATACATTTAAGAATTTTATTTACAAGTTAAGGAGCATTGACTTGATCAATATTACAAAACTTTTCTTAAAGCCTTGCTTATTAAGACTTTATTTTCATTTGATTTAACAATTTTATACATGCTTCCAAAATTTCACAGGGAATGGTCATGCTTCATTTACGTTGATAGTACCTCTATATGCTTTGTTTTCTCTTTTGATGTTACAGCATTACATGAACTGCAGAGAGTGAGGTTTGGTGCTGAGTCAGATCCAACTGGGCTTCATTTTGGTTTTAACATTAGCCCCTTTTCGTGTTTTCCCTTTCCATTATTACTTTAAAGTTTATTTCTTAAAGTTTCTTTTGAAAAAGACAAATATATGTTTCCATTGTTAGAGCTTAAAAAATGTAAAGAATCTAATATTCCTCTCTTGTGACAGGCAATATTGGATCAATTGTTTAACTTCCCTTCAGATTAATAATGTTTTATTCCAAGCATCCAGCACAGCACAGTACATGGAACTAAATATGTGTTTATTTTGTTACTTTTTACATTATTACATATCAGAATTATTTGTATGTATGGAGTAAAATAATGATTTCTGCTATCGAATTTTTTTTGTTCACTACCACTGAAAATTTGAGAAAAAGAACATTCCAAGAGGCTTTTTTAAGAAAATCAAAAACAAATTTCAAGAACCAATTTCTATTCAATTATATCAAATATTTTTTTAGTTTACCTTTCCCCTTTATTTGCCTGTTTCTGATAAACTGAAAGTTCTTGCAATATATACACACATAAAAGTAGAACTAGTTGAATCCAAGAAACAATATTTATATGTAATTTAAGAATGAAATTTCATATTGGTGACAAGTAAGGAAAATAAAAACAAAATATTACCTTGATAATATTAACCACAAGTAAGATCCACTGGATTTGCTGGTTAAATGGTTTGGTTGTGAATGTGTAGTTCCAGCCATAGGATTTATAAACTATGTCATATATAGAATCATAAAATATATTCAGAAGTAGCAACTGAGAATATTGGGCATTAGAAATTCAGAGACACAAAAGTTGTGTTCTCTGGTAAGCAACATTTCCTTGTCTCTGAGTTATCCCCAATGACCACTGTTTTTAAGAAATAAAAAGTGGAATCATAGGTAATCAAACAAAAACATTCCTGAGCTAACAAACCTCAACATTTGGTTCAGGTTTATTGAAGACAAATTCTTCCTCATAACTAAAGCAAACTTATTTGTATGATAAATTCCACCAGGGGTTTAAGGTACTCCTATATAATTTTAGGAAATTTGTTGATACAGCCCTCTAATACTATTTAAATAGTCAATATACATGTTTAAAAAATGGCAAAGTTCTTTTAAAAAGAAAACAGAGATCAGGAAGATGTTTGCCTTTAGAAGTTCAGTGACCCTGTTGTCTTGATCTGAACTCTCATTTTCTCTCTCTCCCTCTTATTTCCTCCTCCATCTCTGTGGAGCCTGGAGGCTGCATGTGAAGCTATAGTTTCCCTCCTTCACAAAGGGAGAGAGCAGGAAGGGCCTAGTCACTGGAGACTTCAGAATTTCTGAGCAGGAAAGGTACAGGATAAGGTGGTTAGACATGGTTATGAAGGGCCCTGAATAAAAACTGCATTTGTCTGTAGCATGTTAAGTAAACTCTTTTCTGTCATCTTTAAAGCATTTAAAGCCTCAATCAATAATGATAAGAAAATGTGCAACTATAAATAGCTAAAGATAAATAAATACATACTTAAGGGAATTTGTAAGCAGAGAAGAAAAACCAAATTAAATGCATAAACAGTTGATATACATTAAATTCAAACTATGGAGGCATTAAAATAAATTTTAAAAATATTTGTAAAGAATTCTTAAGATAATGCAATTAGAGTGAGAGAGAGACAGTTTTCCTAGAACTTGACCAATGATTTTTAAAATTAAGATTTTAATGGAAGTCCTGAAAAGGGTTATTCACTGCTGAAAATGTAATTGTCAGATGGAAAATCCAGTGGAAGATTGTTTACAATACAGAGGAAAGAGATATATTGAAGGAAAAAAAAACAGAGTTGAAGTATAGTTTTGGAGACTGAGTCTGCATTCTAGGTGGATCAAATAAAGAGAAATAATTAAAAACTTTAAAATGTTTCATTGAATAAAATCTTGAGCCTGTAAATAGAAAAGGCCTATTGTTTTATTTGAATAATCCAATATTAGGACTATAGTGAAAAGTTCTCAATTCGTTTAATTAAGTTAACCTAAACAATATTAAACCTCATAATTTTTAAAAAATGTTTAAAAATTATGTTTTCATTTTTAAATTGTAGAAGGCATTCTAGATTATTAATCCCAACAATTTGATATAAGAAAAATATATCATACAGATGAGTAACAATAAAACATTCCACAATGCACCACTTAAAAATGTCTTATGTGGCATCAATGTCATAAATACCACTTCGGGGAGATATTGGTGCTGTGGCTAGATCATTGGGTTAGGAGTTTAGGAATGCAATTTTTATTCTACTGCCAGGTCAGGAGTAAGGCAATTTCAGGCAAGAGACAAGTAACTATAAGCAGTATTTCTCAACTTTCTAAAAATATAATTCACCTAAGGAGACCCAGCCCCAAATCCACGAAACTAAATGCTATGGGAAAAGATTTGCCACATAGAACTGACCTTTATGGGACCGGAAATCAATGTGATATCTGACTTTATCACCCCCAAGAACCAATTTTCACCCTCTTGGGGGGTAGTAACTACTTTGTTGAAAATGCACAGCTTAAAAGAAAAAGAATGGTAATATGTATTGTTGGTAAAACCTTAGTTTAATTACTATACACTTTTTGGGAAATAATTTGGCAAAACATGAACATTTTAACCCCAAAATCCCATATACTGAAACTTTCTTATTGACATACAAGGACCAAAACATATGAGATTATATGTAAAAGATATTTATTTCAGCATTACTTTTAGGGCAAAAAACTTGAGTTTATTGAAATGGGAATGATAGAGCAAGTTGTAGTAGTTTCACTGTATTAAATATTAAACAGCACCCAAAAGGAAGAATCTATTTCTACTGACCTGAAGAAATGTCTATAATGAATTGATAGAAGAAAAGCAAATTAGAATGCAGTGAGAAAGCTACACTATCAGAAGAATGAGAATGATGTGGGAATATTTAGAGGGTATCAATTTTGTTTTTGTATATTTTTGCCTTGTTAAATTAGTTTCTGAAAACATTTAGTACTCTGTAACTTAATATTTAAAAAATGTAAAAAATTAATTAAGTTAAAGGACATGGATAAATTATAGAAATTATAAAGGAATCAAATATATTTTATATTATAAAATATATTATAAATATGATATACAATATAAGTATATATGTAAATATAATATGTTACTATATAATATTAACCATGTTATTAGAAGAGCACATGTTTGGTCCCCTTGAGCAAGCTGCAGAAAAACAACCAACTAATCAACCAATCTTTCTGAATGTATACTCAATTTTAAATTACCTGCCAAAAAAAAAAACACACTATTTTTATAATAAGAGAAAAAGTTATATGAGTTTGAGAATTACTTAAAGTCTACAGAGCTTGGAATTTTAAAATTATCCATGTGGATTCTAACTTTCTTAATCTGATTTTTGTAGGAATTAATATACATACCTGTCCTTGGGAAATGTAGTTTTCCCAAGCATGTAATTGATTTAGGAAAACTAGTGTTATAAATGTAATCATAAGTGTAAATATGTGATCTGAATTATTATTGGCATATTTACATTTTAATTGTAACTATATTTTTCAGATTTATGATGGAAAAGATAAAACAACTCACCTACTAGGTGCTTTTACTGGTGCATCGATGCGAGGACTGACGCTTAGTAGTACTTCAAATCAGCTCTGGCTAGAATTTAATTCAGATTCTGAAGGGACAGATGAAGGCTTTCAACTTGTCTATACCAGTAAGTAATTTGGAAGAAAAAAATGGCCAAGCATTGAGACTGGATATTTCTTAAATAATTGCAATACACCCGGTGTAGTAATATCTAACATTTGCTCATCAGTTTGCCGTCTGCAACTCCCTTGTACACATATAATTTTATTTGACCCTAAAGCAACTCCAGATGTTCTAACTGCTGCCATTTAACAGTTGAAACAACTAAGGTTCAGAAACATCAAGTAATTTGTGACTTTGGTTTTATTTATGTGTTTTTTAAAAAGCAGTGTTCTCTCCTTCCAATATTTAAAAAAGTACAATTAAGGTTTTTATTGCATGGAAATGCAGTGTTTGAGCCCCCACCTGTAATTGCAACACACATGCAAAAATATGTATAGTAGTTATAGTTGGTCAGCCATTAATGATAATGGGATGATTTCAGGTGATTTTGATGCAAGAATGCCCAAGTTTTACTTTGTTATGCTTTTGTGTTGAATTGCCTTATTAAAAATAAATTCATACAGTACTATTGTATTATTTTCAAATCATCTACTCCGATGATTAAATAAGTAGAAGTTCAAAGACTGAGACCCATAGGTAGGTGGGCTACATCAATTGTTATATGAATTAAATGAATTTATTTTACCAGTATCATAATATAAGAAACGGGCTAATTGCATCAATAAACAATAAATCATATTCAAATAATATATTTATTGAGTTTCTACTCTGTGCAAAACAGTATACTAAGAAAGTAAAACTAGGTAAAACTGAGGTGGTTATTGATTTAATAAATTTATAATCAGAATAAATCAGTTCTTGAAATCCAAAATACTCATTTAATATAGCAAGATAAATTAAGTAGCAATATTCAGATATATTTACTGTTAGAATATTTGAAAAAATCTAATGACCTATATACATTTTCTCAAGAAGTCAGATGTATGGAAATTAATATACAAACTGGGAAATATAAAATGTTACAGCATAAAGGATATTTACATGAGATCCTAAAGGGAAGTTGAATCAAATTATTGTTTGTGAAAATATTCTTTCTTAATGATATAAGAAGGTAGGAGACAAAGTATATGATTTGTTAAATTAAAATATCCTGGTGCATAATACTGAGAGGTTACTGTTGCTCACTGTTGATTTCAAGGCTTTTTTCCTACCTGTGCTAGAATTGTTACATCATTAACACAAATGAAACATAAATTTAAAAAATGAATGTTGAATATGTATTTTTGAACTGAGACCTTCTGTGTACAATGTGATTTCTTATAAAGTCCTCCCAAAGACAAATGAAAATCCAATTGTTTATTAAATAATTGCAGTATCAGGTGAAGCATTATCCACTATTTGATCAATTTGAAGTTCACAATTCCCTTCTAGATAGATAGATATATTAATAGATAGATAGATATACATTTGTATATATACATATGTGTAATATTTATAGATATTAGTATGTGATGGACTAAAATAATGGTAATGAGGAATACTATTCAAATATAATTGGTGTGATCGGCTCAGAAAGGCAGATTTTTCCATCTGCTTTCCTGTTCCCCATTCTCTGTTTTCTAAAATGGCTGCTCACATTTTTCAAGTCATGACTCAATATTTATATAATATTTTTTCTTTGTTTTGTATCATTTTGCATTTCCCCTTTCTGTTATGTTAATGGACTTCATAGAGGAAACTTCCATTTCCTTTTCTGGTATTTAAATTCTATGTAACTCTAGATTATTGATGCAGAGAAACTGGACATTGTAGGACATACCCAGGTTTAAAATTCAGGTGTCTGGAGTGAATAAAATCATTGACTTTATTGCCATTGGTGTGAGCTACTAGATGTCAAGAAAGAGAAACAATAACTAGCAAATATTGATATTACCCTTCTTTTCTTAATAACTCTAGTTCATTATTGAATCTATATCAGTTTTAAGATAGGAAGCTACAGAAAAGGAAAAGAGTATAGAAGGAATTTTTTAAAAAGGGTAGATGTACATCTGTATTTTTCAATCTCAGAACTGAAATTAAAATGTTTCAATCTCAGATCTGGAACTAATATCTTTATAGCCTATTTCTACCTGTAGGTATTACCAGGTAGGTAAATGTTCCTATGATGTTCTGAACCAACAGCTCTGTTCTGAATCCTTCCATTGGGGAGATTCCTAGAAATAATAATGCTTCTGTTATTAACTGTATTTGCTCCTAAGTGTTACTTCTAATTTTTAGAATGGTTATAATTCTACATGTCTGCAATTGTCTTAATTAATACTTAACCATGGATTTCCTAGCTCTGAAAGAAGTTTGTCCCCCATCTTCCAAATATACATTTGTTTCCAGCCATTGCATGAATGCCTAAGCTGCTTTTTCTTTCACCTGGGGCATCTGTTGAACTGTTGAACTTGACAATTCATCTCAAATATTTCCCCTGTTGCTTACCCTGATTTTTTTAGCCAGTGTTCACCTAGATTTTTAATGTTTCTTTTGCAGTAGTTTATATCCACAACTAATGTAACAGTTACCACACTGTATTGTGGTTATACATTTTTGCAAACATATTGTGCATAGTTCTTCAGGGGGCCATTTCCCTTCATAATGACTTTAGACAATTTTAGTTCAATTGCATCTTTTTACATATCCTTGCTAAATTAACATGTGGTCTGCATACTGATTTTATAAAATGCTTTTCTGGTGTAGAAAACCCTACTAGTCCACATATTTAAATATTGATAAAATTCTTAGAGGCAATAATTTCTGGACATGAGAGAATTTGCTAACTTGTTCAGACATAGGGAAAAATGGAGAAGACCATGTATCTGTGGTTTGTTCCCTTTACAATTATTCCAGCTTTATTTCTGAAACATCTGAGAGAACCAAGAGAACCCTGTATAATGCAGAGGAGTTCTCAGTATTCACAATAAGAGAATTAAAGACAGGGAGAGGCCATGTGGCAAGGGCAGATCATGAATTTGTGATGAAGAAAGGATTCATGAGTTAGGTAGTATTAAAAGTAGGGTTGGTCGGTCATAGAAAAAAATGATGGGGAGTATTCCAGGCAAAGAGAATAGGATGAAAAAAGGCACAGAAATTAGGAAGATCATGTTAAGCTATTCAAGGCAAATACAGCAAATTGACAACTAGATTAATCCTATTTGCCTAGCTTCTCACAGTTCTAGTCTCAGCACAAACAGGCCTTTATGACTACCCTTTTGTCACTTACCCTGTCTAACAGTCACTTTCTGTCTGTCCTACTATCCATGTTGTTGGTTTAGTAACACTTGCTATTATCTAGTTATTTTCACTTTTAGGTAGATAGGATCACACTTGACTGAGATACAAATGAAGAGATATTTTAGAACAGGCCTTTAAGGTGCATTTTATTTCAGTTGTCTTCTTAGATCATTCATTAAATAATTACTAAGAATAACAAATGGGCTAGTGAAACTGGTTGAGATGCCACTTCTGGCTTCAGATAATGGAAAACCTAACTATGGCTTAAACAACCAGGATTTTCTTTTCCTGTAGGAATGAATTCATGATAACGTCAAGTTTCAATTGTTCAACCTAGGCAGCAATCGCCCCGCCTTTCTGTTGTGGCATCATGCAATTGTTCACTTTTTGTCTTCATGCTTGTATGACATGGTCACAAGATGGCTACTTGAGCTCTGGGTATATTGGAGGCAGGAAGACAGGGAGCATGGAGTGCCAACCACACATGTCCCTTTTATCAGAAATGCAAAATCTTCTGTCAGATATTTTCTTATCTCTGTCCAAAGCTGGGCCATGTGGTTATGCCTAAATTTTCCAACAAGAAAAGCTGGAAAATGAAAGTATTTGGCAGACTAAATAATTGGCTACATATTAGACTATCATGATGTGATTTAACCAAGGTTTTGTTTGTGAGGAAGAAGAAAAGAAGAGATACTAAGAAGACAACATGCAGTGTCTGCTACAATGTATAGCTGCAGGAGATAGTCCAGAAATAGTAAGCCCAAAAATAGTGTATTAATATATGCCTCTGTGCTTAATGGTGTAATGAAAGCCCAGAAACTCTTGGGTGCTTAGAAAGGAAAAACATTTAGCTCACCCATTATCTGTAGTTTTAGCTCTACTCCACTAAGAAAGACAGTGAGCCTCTCTTTCTTTTCTTCACCAAAAAATAAAACTATATACATGCCTGATATGCAAATGCTATATGCCATACTAGAGGAGAGAAACTTATTTCTTTATTTTTCTAAAGCAAATTAAGTATTTTCAGTCACATTCTTTAGAGTTGCTGAGTAAAGTCTTATTTATTATTTTATTAAGACATCCTTCTTCTCCCAAAAAAGTTTCTCAATCAACTCTAATTTGGTTAGACAACTATGCTGATTGATAAGAAACCTCTGTGACAAACTTGATCAGACCTTGATGACATTAGTGATTACATCAGTGAATCCCATTGTTCTTCCATCCCTCTAGCCTCTCTGAAGTAACTCCCTCCTTGTGTCAGGCCACGCTTCCATTCTTCTCAAAACAATGGCTCTCAATTATTCTTGCCCTTGAGAAATCTCAAATTCACCCCAAATATTTAGACGAGGCATATTTTCAGGTGCTTTATACAACACAAATTAGCTGTAATTTCCCTGTGACCCATAAAGGCATAGTTATCTTTCCTCAAAAGTGTAGGGGATTAAAGTGAAATAAAATTACCATTCCCTTCTTCTGAACTTTGAACAAATCAGAAATTAAGATCTCAATACTCAATCCTTGCTAAAACATCACTCTCCTCCGGATAACTCGGTAACGGAACTCAACAAACCTGATGGGATCATCTGACCAGCCTCCTTCAGCTCCTCAGTGCACATTTCAAGAATACATTCCTGAATCTGGTTTTATTTTTTTGTATCCCTCTCTTTTAAGGATAGGTTGTAGAAATGTCATTTCTGTTTGGCATATGTCTTATCTTCCTTTTTATTCCTCTACTGGAATTAACTTTTTATTGTGGAAATTATTCATTGAATTATAGGTTTAAAA